GATTCACTGAGGAATCGGTCATTAAATTAACCCAGGTATCTGATGGAGAGACCTGATCCCCACTCTGAAACGTAAAACCTAGTTACTCTAATGAGGTGCCATGTTTGGTCACAAGATAATCCTGTCTGATTACTACTGACTGAAACAGCCTGTGTATGATTTTCCTGAGCTTTCACTTGACTTGCTCATTCAAAATTAAATCAGTTCATTCCACAGAACCCTTCAGGTTTATGTCAACCTGAAGGGAGATTTCTAGCAAGCACCATGCTCTTGCCTGCATCTTATTCTGTGTTGATCAATGACTGGATACAGGAATTGCCAACAAGATCAAGAAAGTATGGTGAAGATATTGGGGGATATAATCGGAATCCAAATGCACTTCGACAGGCTCCTACTTCCTCTAACAAGGAAAAATTAGCAAGGCCACAAATAACCTGCATCAGTCCAGGACAATGTAGATTTGGTTTCAGAATTCCATATACATGAGGAAATGAAACAGTTTCCTTTACTGGACATCACTGGTGTGGTGTGGCTGCCCAAGAGGTCCATTGGATCCAAGGCCACATGAAGAGGAATGGTGTCAAGATGGGGCAGATGATAGACGGTTCCTGCTTGTTTTTGTCTGATCATACCTGGAGGGCCATGTTCCAGGAAAATGGGTATCTATGGAGCCAAAAAACAGGAAGCAAAGGGACCTTGAAGCAGTCCACAGAATAGTTGAAAGCCATAGTTAGCATAAAGAAGAGAAGCCTGGGGATACATTGATGTCTTCAGATATACAAAGTCCCACAAGTAGGGTTAAAAACACATCCCTAAGTAGGCCCTTGTGGTCTGGAAATACCAGGTTTTGCTGGCCACGCCTTATCTTTACCTTAGGCCCAGCCTGCTCTTTGAGAGTCCCTTGGGCTTTCCACTTGGCTGCCCAAAGGTACCACAAACCTTCCTCCAGAAACCTTGGAAGCATCCTGGACTTTTCCCTCGCCCTTGCATTTTGTCACCAAATCTGGTTCATTCTACCTCCTAAACATTTCTCTAGTCTGCCCCATCTCCTCTTTTTCCTTGTGTTCTGCAATAGCCTCTTAATTAATGTTCCTAATTCCAACTCCACTCATCATACATAATGTCCTTTCCTCATCATGATGCTCTCCTGACTAAAACACTTTAAAAGCCTCCCCTTTTTTGCCTGATTAATAAATTTTAAATTTCAATTTTAATTGACACAAGCTACGTAATTGTACATATTTATAGGGCATGGTGTGATAATTTGACACATGTATATGAATTCTTTAATGTGGCCTTTGAAGCCTTGCACAACCAGGCCCTTGATTATGTGTCCCTCTTCAGTTCCCCAAGGGATCCTTAACGCTCTTCTCTCCCATGTTTACAATGGGCTGGCTGGTGCCTTGGTTCCTTTGCTCATGCTGCTCCTTCTGTCTCATACTCTCCTCTCTTTTTGCCTTCAAAACAAAGCTACCTAAAGCCTTCCCCTATCTTTATGGCCAGGGCTAGGTGAAAGACCCATGTGAGGGGTTTTCCTCGCACTCTGAACTTGCTCCAATTGTTGCTGGAACAACATTGCACATTGCATTGCACCACTGCCCTTAGGTTTCCATGGCTTAGGCCTGTCTCACACATTAGGTGCTGAGGGGCAGCATGTCATAAACTGCACCACCCTGGCCTGACCCTGAAGAGTGCTGCCTGCGTTTCTGTGTCTGGTGCCCTTGAATCCAGCTATGCTCCCGTCACATTGGGCTTTCACATCCTGTGTTGCTCTGATATCTCCTTGCCGGCTTCTTCCTTCAGAGTAAGTAGCAGCCTGGGTCCTATAGCCAACAAAACTTCAAGGTGTTATCCTTACCTGCCTAACACTCCCGTGAAATTTCCAAAGGCCCTGGACACTGGACACCTTCCCCTCCACACATCTTCCTCCTCCCCACGGGGGATCATGTTTTCCAGCAGCATCAAGGGCTCCCAGTTGGGGTAGACTGGGCCTCTGAGACTATTTTCCCTAGAAGAAAGTGGCTGTTAAAACTCATGAATTTCCAGAAGTATTGTCACCTTAGTCTAGATAGCTGTTATCACCAGGGCAGTGCATTCATGTGTGTGTGTGTATGTGTGTGTATAACAGAGACTGTTCATATTGGGCTCTCCTTGTCTTCTATGGCCACTTGGCAGCCTTAAGGTTGAAGGTATAGTGGATCATACATCCCTAACATTAGGGACTCTCTCAGTGTCTGCCTGTCTCCCTGTGTTGTTTACCTCCTTCCACTCTTACTTTTTTTTTTTGGTACCAGGGATCAAACTGAGGACTTTGTTCTTGCGGGGCAGGCAACAGAACCACTGAGCTAAATCCCCAGCCCTCCTACTTTTGATATTCATTCATTTATTCAGTACATATTTATCAAACCTTGAGTACCTTCAATATGGAGCCTGACCATACCAATACATATTTGTAAGCTTGATGCTTACAAGACATTGATTCTGATGCTAACAAGTAGTTGGGATCTGTCTGGTCTGAAAGGCAAGGATGAAGTTTTAGGAGAGTCCCAGACTTGCACTGTAGTACTCTAAGATTTACCCGAAGATATCACTGTAGACTTGAGCCAGTAAAACAAATTAGGGCAGTAGGCCCATCAGCTAAGCATGAAGGTGACTCCATTATGGAACTTTCAATCACCCAACAGCCTCCTATTACAATGCAAGCCTGGAAAAGCTGGTTAAAAGGTTAATCCAAATGTGTCACTGGACTAAATAAATTTCCTTTCCCAACTAATTAGACTCATTGCCACTAAACTATTTCCTCAGGCCTAGAATAAATGTTTGATAAATATGTACGAAATGATTTAATGAATGAATAATGAATGAATGAATGAATAAGAAATTAGGAGTTGGAGGAGAGAGTCCATGGATACACGAGCCATCATCACTGGTAAAAGCTACAGGGGAACAAAAGCTGCTACTGTTTAGTAGGGAGTCTTCACAGAGATGAATTTTAGTAATGCCGGAAAGGACAAGACCTAGAAGTACAGAGATAAATGAAGGCGTTCTTGGCCCTCTCTTCATCCTTTCTCCCAGATTCCTCTGTATCCAATGTTTGTTTATTCTAGAAAAATGTGTAAAGGGTATTTTTAAAAATATCACCTTCCTGTTATTTCTGCAACACACTTGGAGTATCACGCAGAGATTTTTTTATGTGTTGACACATGTTCCCAGCTCTCTCCTTCCTCTTCCCCAGAACAGTTCATTAAATAAGCAGTTAAAGGAGTCTCTGAGATTCTGCCATGTGCCAGGTATGAAGGCAAAGGTGTAAACTGGAATAGGTGGGAAGAGGGCTCTAGAGATATAGGATGAAGCCCTTGTTCTAGAAAACAGAGTTTAAGTGGAAATGCAAAGAAGTAATTGCAACTTACTATGGAAAGTGTTTTAGCGAAGACTAAGTATGGAAGCACTATGGCAACAGAGGAAAAAAATGATGACATCAGCAGGCGGAAGGGATTTTTCTCAAAGGAGAGATGGGACTTGGACTGAGACTGGAAGGATGAGTAGAATTTTCCAGTCAAAGATGGAAGCCTGTGCCAGGTAGAAGAAATGCCATGCATGGGCTAGAGGCATAGAGGATAGAACACAGGAGGCTTGATATGTTGCAAACCCAAGAATTGGAAGAAATGTCCCACAGGGGACATTCAGTAAGCTGGGTGACAAAGAAAGTTCTTTCTGGCTCCCTATGTGCATATAGAGAACCATCCACCAGCCCCTCAGATGGGGATAGATAAACTTCACAAAAACTGAAGCCATCCCCCAGGTTTCCTTTAAGAAGCTAAATGCAACATTCAGTGCTTATTGCTGTTTTCCTTTCACAATATGTCCTTCAGTGACTTCAGCCTTCATTTTCTGTACCTGAGCAGAAATTCATATTTCATGAAAAGCACAACCACAGGGTCTTTTTTCTCATGGAATAAACCCAATCGTACACTTTGAAATGTCTGGGGTGTGGTATATGCATATACTTGCTATGTATGAGTTCAAGTATGCCAGCATGTAGCTTGAATGTTTGCTAGTCTGCTATTTGAGCAAGGAACTTTATCTGTTTGCAGATCAAAAGGAAAGATAAGCATGCAGCAAAGCCCCTATAGTTACTGGCATCCATATGTCCTTTCAGTGGGTAGAGAAAAGGGATATTTTGAAGCCAGTTAGGAGAGACTTAACCTTCCTATCCTGAGAATATTGCCATGGGAGCAAAGGTTGACACTAAGTAGTTGTCTGCATATATGCCATTGGCAGCTACCATGTCTATTTCAGTCTGTGACTACCACAATGTTTATCTCTGGAAGCCTTGGGTTGCTCTGCCTGTCTCTACATTCCGTTTCCATAACATATGAGCTGTGATATTGTGCCAACAACCAGAATCAAGAGTATCATATCAGACACTCCTTCGATGCAATTTTGTTTTTTTAATAAGATTTCCAGATTAGAATGGATACTGGGAACTGCTTGTGTATATTTAACAAGAAAGATTAGAATCTGAGCTCCTTTATCATTTAGCCATTTCATATCAATAAATTTTAGGCTTTCATGGAGTCTCCATTTCACGTTCAGTTAATGGAGTCTTAGGGTGGAGAGTGTGAAATAATATGGTTGCCTTCTGAGCCACTGACGTCATTGAGAGGATTTTGCCATGGGTTGGAGAGGGAGAAGAAAAGGCAAGGAGAAAATAGGAGTGAAGACTGACAAGGCCAGTGTCTGGAGTCGATAACTGGTTTTTGTTTACCTATTTTAGATACAGTGTCAGCAAGTTGGGTGGAGGACTTTGCTATCTGGTCAAGCTTGCGGGATTTAGAGAGGGGACTGCAGTACAATTTACATGACAAATGCCCCCAGATCCTTGTCATTCCCCCTTTGCCTTCTTTACTGGCCAGCGAACATCACATATGTCATGCACCTCCCTGTCTCTACTTTGTCACCCACATCTCTGACTCTTGGTCCTTGTGCTTTATCCGTAGGAACTTCCACTACATCACCATCCTCCGAGACCCAGTGTCCCGGTACTTGAGTGAGTGGAGGCATGTCCAGAGAGGGGCGACCTGGAAAGCATCCCTGCACGTGTGTGATGGAAGGCCCCCAACCTCCAAGGAGCTGCCCAGCTGCTATACTGGCGATGACTGGTCTGGCTGCCCCCTGAAAGAGTTCATGGACTGCCCCTATAACCTGGCCAACAACCGCCAGGTGCGCATGCTCTCCGACCTGACCCTAGTCGGCTGCTACAACCTCTCTGTCATGCCTGAAAAGCAGAGAAACAAAGTCCTCCTGGAAAGCGCCAAGTCAAACCTGAAGCATATGGCTTTCTTTGGCCTCACTGAGTTTCAGCGGAAGACCCAGTATCTGTTTGAGAAGACCTTCAACATGAACTTTATCTCGCCATTTACCCAGTACAATACCACTAGAGCCTCTAGTGTAGAGATCAATGAGGAAGTCCAAAAGCATATTGAGAGACTTAATTTTCTGGATATGGAGCTGTACAGCTATGCAAAAGATCTCTTTTTGCAAAGGTATCAGTTTATGAGGCAGAAAGAGCATCAGGAGGCCAGGCGGAAGCGTCTGGAGCAACGCAAATTTCTGAGGGGAAGGTTCCTTCAGACCCATTTCCAGGGCCAGAGGCAGGGCCAGAGTCAGAATCCGACTCAGAATCAGAGTCAGAACCCAAATCTCAATGCAAATCAGAATCTGACTCAGAATCTGACTCCAAATCTGACTCAGAACTTGAGCCAGAAGGAGAACCGGTCCAACCAGAAACGGAACCCAGGCCAGGACCAGAAAGGTAGCAACAACAGCAATGGCATCAATGACTACATAGGCAGTGTAGAGAAATGGCGTTAAGTGGCTGAGAGGCCTGTGTTCACTTCTCCTAAAGCGCCACCCAAAACATGGCATATCTTAAGAGATAAAAATGTCCCAACACATCCTGCTTCCTTAATTTTGGAAGTTAAAAAAAGTTTAGATGTTGCCTTTACAGTTGCCTTTCAGTGAAATGTTATGCTGTGCGTGGGTGAAACAAATCTCAATATGTAATTAAATTGTCTTTTTCTTTTTTTGGTTGGACTATTTATGAAATCCGAAAGCCAAACCAGACTCAAATTGCTGTTTAGATATTTTAAGAAGTTTTTAAATTAGGAATGGAGACAAGATGAAAACATAGAATGTGACCATTTAGCTTATGGCTGAGAAGTGGTCTGAAAAGATGTGTGATACACTGTTCAAACCCAATCTTGGAAGCAAAGTTTTTCCCCCTGGCTAAACATAGTGTAAACATCAAATGATACACAAAGTCTTTCATTTTCTTCTGCTTTTAACAAGGGATCCATTTAAATACATTATTAACTGATGATACATCTTACCAAACTACCGACAGAAAAGAATTCCTCTCCTCAATATGGGTGATTTTATGTAAAAATATTTGCTTTTCAAGTAGAACAGGGCTCATATCTTGTAATTTGAGAGATCTTTAAAATTTTAAACTTTTTCTACCTTCTACTGTTTAAAGGTTTTAAACAGGGTCTAACTCACACTAAACAAAGCATATTTTTTTCCAAATGAAATACCAATGTTACTATCTAGTTTTCAGATGCGTTCAGAGCATTGCAATTTCGACAATTCTGGAATCTTTTTGGCACTGCTTCTCATTCACTTTAAGGCTTCTCCGAGTTGTGCTCATTCCAAACGAACCCATGTGTAAAATCTTTATCTAAATGGTGTGTTGCTGAATTTATTGTGATATATAATCCTGGATTAAAGTCAGGACTTTCTTTCTATAGAATTGTCTTATCAATGTTTGTGTAGTGAGGTCCCTATCAAGAAACTCTTGAACAGGATAATTGTGTCTACAAATATTGCTGAAGTTATTCTTGATCAGGTAGAATCAAACCTGAATGTGAACTGTTATTTCCTTTTGGTATATCTTTATTGTAATGTTTCCCGTTTGGCTAGCTATTTCTGACCCACTAGTTCTTTGTGTGTGTGTGTTGACAGATTTGTAGGCAATTACAAGAGCAAAAAACTGGTAGAATAAGTACTAGAACGGCCAGAGTTATTCAGTAATATCAAAAGCTTTCTTGATGCTTTGGGTTAACCCTTTGCAAAAATGAAGAGTATTCTACAGTGAAGTATCAGGAACATATACTTTGAGGAGAGTAATTTGGTGGTGTAAGTCTATGTAAAAATATTTTTGTGGTATCAATTATGAATTGAGCGAAGTCAAAGAAGTATGAGCTCCCTGGGCTGCCAGGCATCATGATTCTGGGTAGTTCCCATGGTATATGGATTTTGCTACACTTTCAGAAGAACTTACACTACCCACCCCCCTGCAGCCACCAGTCAACCGAAGTGACAGGAAATGGCATTTATGTTTGAGAAGAGACATGCTTAGAACTGTGACCATAAAGTCATATCTTGTATAACCTGCCCACACACATGATCTAGTTTCATCAGTAATAATATAGCCACAAGCTGAGCAGGTAGCTGGGTATTTGAGTTTAAAATGGATTTTCTTGACTCTGAGCCTGTATCAGTATTTCTAGCTTTTGTTTTGTCTGATAGTATTGCAGTTCTGGTAATTCTGAGATTTAAAAAACTGGAAGGAAATTAAACACACACACACACACACACACACACACCTTGAAGTCAAAGTGTTTTAGAGTGAAACTATTTTGTGTACATTGTGTTTTTAAAATATTCTGTAGAGATCACTATGGTATTTCATTTTGTTTAGTTTTAATTGAAAATGTTTGCTCTTAAAACTGACCGCTAGTGTTGGAAAGCAGGATGAGGTCTGAGCCAGTGGAAAAACTTGTTACAAAAAAAATATCTGTGTTATTGCTGTGGTGTGCATGGTTTGCAGAGATTAAGTGCATTTTCTCTGTCTATACTGATTATTGTACATAGGGGGTGTTATAAATATACATTTTTGTCATCATTTCAACTGTAAACATCTGTCCAATGGTGTAACTTTACAAATCATTCACTGATTTTGTGTAATTTAACAATAAATATGAAATAAAGTTTAAATTACAGGCTATGAGTCATTTCATGATTTCAAACTTTGTAGCCACTAGACATTCTGACATCATAGACCAGTTATGGGAATGACAAGTCTCCTTCTAACCCCCCATTAAAATGACTTTAATTTGGGATGTTTCCTTGTGGAAGTCCATGTTTTGAGTAAAAAGTATATTGTTCACGAAAGACAAGGTTTGCTGTACAAATGAAATATTCACATGCTTTAATTTAAAAGTTATTAAAGTAGATATTTTCATATCTAAGAACATTTAGGATGGGAGAACAGCATTCTTAATTTCCTGTCTGTCCCTTCTGTCCTCAATGTAGAGGTTAAAGGTAGGCATGAACAGTTTGGCTTTTACAGTCCTGAGCAAAATTTGCTCTTTTATTCAATGTATAAATTTCTCCCAGCTCTTGAGATAAGGACCATATATGGGGCTGGTTTGTACTTGCTTCTTTCAAAGAGACTTTGAGTGCAAAATAAAAGATAGATAGATAGATAAGTTATTGTAATTAGCATGACCAATGTATCTAAAAGCATACCTTGATTTATTATAATTGTCTTAGGCATTTTGTATGTTTTTTGGCCTGTTAGTCTGGCCATTAATTAACTTGATAAGGACTTATAAAAAATAAAGAGACTTTTGCTATGAGCTCCAAAGGATTAGAGGAAAAAAGCTACAAATTGGGGTATGAAGTGTAAGTATCCTCAGTATAGTTGTATATAAACTATACTTATGAGATTTTTGCCCATCAACTATTGATTGAGCAACAATTGGACTGGGATGTATGTAGCCCAGTGATAGAGTGCATGTTTAGTATGCATGGGTCCCTGGTTCAATCCCTACCAGCCTTCCCCCCCCCCCACACGGATGCATGCATGCACGCACCCACATGCACATCACCGGGCAGCCAAACATCTCAATGGTTTGAAGTTCCCATGACCTCTTGAGAGGAACTTTGAACAGGAATATGGAGGTCAACAACTTGAAATATTCAGGAAATAGGCTTTGGTCTGCTTTTCCCTTGAGGAGGGTAGGTATCCTCAGAGAGCAGAGCACTCTCACTGCTTTCTAGCATTATCCTAAAGACAATTCCTGACACTTGAAAGTTGAGAAGGGGGAGACAGGGGTATTCCTTCAGCACAGTGGCCATTTGAAGTGGGCTAGGACTTTCTTCCCTCTTGTCTTCACTTGGAATTAAACTAAGCAAACAAAAACTGGGTGTTTTATAGAAAATACTAGCAAGCAATATATGATATATTGACTCCCAACATAAACCCTTAGGACTTGGAATCCTAGTCTTTTATATGGTGAGAAGAAAGAAGGCTCACAGTTTTGAAAGAATTTGGACCACACCTTAAAAATACTGAAGTACAACACTCAGACCTTCACAAATGTGCAAAACCCTGCAAAGGTATTCTGAAAATGAAGCATATCAGCCATTTCTCAGTTTACAAGGCATTGCTCAGGACAGGGGTCCAAACACAACTGCCCAGGGGCCAATTTGCCTTCTGTCTGTTTCTGTAAATAAAGTGTTATCAGAACACAGCGCCACCTATTTCTTTGCATATTTTCTCTGGCTGCTCTCAAACTATACCAGCAGGAATAGTTAAAAACATGGATCCTATGACCGGAAAAATCTAAAATATTTTTTTTCTTGCCTTTTGGAGAAGAATTTCGTCAGTTCTAGAGTTAGCCAAATGAATTTCCAAAATATTGAAAAAAAATAGCAGTATCCCAGAATTTAAGAAGGCAGAGAGGTATATTTCAAACAATTCCAAGACTACAATGCCTCAAACTGCATGTATTGAGGACACATGAAAGGTGTTCTGTTCCCTTAGGCCTGACAGCGAGACCCTGAACTTTTCTCTCAGGATTGAGGAGATCCAAACCAAATGCTATGTCAGCATAAGTAGTTCTTCAGTAGGCTCAAATACTTGAAGTCTACCAGCTCCTTGAGTGTGCATGTGTGTTTGACCACGTGTTTATAAGAATGGAAACTGTATAGGTGTGTAAAGTAGAATGTGAAATTACCTATGCAACCACCCAAATAACTACTTGTCCTAATCACAGTCAAATCTAACACGTCTCTCACACACAAACACAACCGCAAATAATATTTATAGAAAATATTAAACCATACTGTGCTCCCATTTTTGAGTTCTTTATTAGGACAGGTTCGTAGCACATAATATTAACACTCCCTGCGCGGAGTGGGTGCATGTACACAACTTGTCCCAATTCCCCTTTTCATCCCCTTTCCCTCCCCTCCCTCCATCTCTTGATCCCCTTTCCCATTTGACAATGATCTCTCTCCCTACTTCCTATCATCATATTATTTTCCTTTTAATTCTTATTGATTCATTGATTGCAGTGTTAAAGATGGAGCCCAGAGTCTTCCATATGCTAGGCAAATGCTCTACTACCGAGCTACATTTCCAGCCCCCAATTTCCTTTCTTAAAAACCTCAGCAATGTATCACACGTTTTCTTCCAAAAGAGGAATACAATGGGGTGTTGACCTGATCCCTCCAATGTGACCACTGCTGGTGTTAGAGGCTGAGAGCATAGGCTCTAGACCCATACTGCTGGGGTTCAAATCCCAGTTCCACCAAGTGCTTTCTCTGTGACCTTGGGAAAGCCATTAACCTCCTCATGCCTCATCTTCCTCTCCTGTAAATAGAGAAAATAAGACCCACAACTTCAGATGCTTACTGTGAAAATTAAACAAGTTAATATTTATAAAGCACTTAGCATACTACCTGAGACGCAGTGAATCTTACATGTTTGATAATTATTATTTTTACTGTTAATAGCAGGAAGGCTAAATGCTGAATTCCCATGTCTTCAGAAAGGACAGACTGTCAGATGAAAAAATGAAAATATTGGCAAGAAAAGAAGCAAAAAATAGAATATATCCTATTGCAACCAACTTTTAAAAAGATTTTCTCTAAATAAATAAATATATTTCAAATGTCACACCATTAAATGTATAAATATCTTTCCTAAGGTTTGCTTCTGAGCTGTGAAATATAGCCAGTGACGGAAGTATCCTGAAAGATCTAATCCACCAAATGCCAAATGAGTCACAGATTTTTCTCTCCAGCAATAAAAGTACATCATCTGATAGCCCTGACTGACTTGGGACCTAGTTTATCTCACATAAGAAGGATGACTCACTTCCAGCCCCCTTCCTTCCCCTCCTGCCTCTCCACCCAGCATCATCAGAGCACAGGCCCTTCTGCGTGATGAGATCTTAGAGTCTCAAAGGTCTAGGTGCTTCCGTCAGAGGAAGAATTCCCATGTTCCAAGTTTCTATTCTGGGTGAAAGTAGCATGATCAGAGGGCCCTAGTAAAATGTATATATGCCACCAAGGAGGGCGGGGTTAGAGTAACCCATTAAAAATTAGCACATTTTCATTTATCAGATTAGCAGTCACGAAGGGCCTTCAGGGAAAAGGACACACAGGCCTTGTGAGTTCAGCTAGCTCATGTCACCTTTAAAAAAAAGAAAAGAAAATGAATGTTTACTTCTATCCTGTTTGAATTTTAAAATTTCAGTCTTTTTGCCTTAAAGACAGGATAAGGTTCAATAATCCTCATCAAATCTCCCTGAGTTGTATAAATCCTATTCTAATGATGTCTGGTTAGATCTTGTGACTTCACTACTATTAGTATGATTTAATGATGCCTAACTGGGCTAAGAAAAGTTGAACTGTTTTTGTGTCTCAACCATGCTCTACTGGATTTCATGTGACTTAAGAAAACCTCCAAGGAACTGTAGTCACACATGAGCATGCAATGCCACAGCTTGAACAGACCTAGCCACCAAAACCAGCCAGTCCTAACCAACCTTCCCATGGATTAATCCAAAACACAAGAATGTGGTTTTCTTGGGTCTCACGGGGGCCTTCTGTCACTGAAGCCACACATAGGAGAATCATGTGTCCATCAAGGCCCTTGAGATTAGATAACAAAGACTTCCTGAACTTCCTCAGAGGAGCACATTTAGACTTCACCAAACTGAATAGGTAGATAAGACTAGTCAAGGTGAATAGGATTTATCTAAAACTTTTTCACAAAACCCAGTCCATTGACCTATGGTCTCAGAATTCTCCCTAATGTGATTAAAAATGCAGATTTCTTGGGCCCCACTGCAGATGACCTGAAGTCAAATCTCTGGGGTGTAAAGGGAGACTCTGTGTTTTCAGTGAGATCTGACATGGAGGGTCACTGCCCTGAATTACAGGTCTGATCACAGCGCTGCTCTCCTCACAAAGCTTTGGTGCTTTCTCTGTTTGCAGATTGATGCCCCTGCTCTTCTGCTAAGTACACAAAGTTGTCTGCAATCTGGTCCCATCTCTTCTCAGGCCCACTGTTGAATATCACTCTATTTGGACCTTTGTTCCAATTAAAGTCCCTTGCTCCTTGTCCCAGGAATAGACCTTCCAAGATGAATTTGAATAGGTTTATCAGGTGTCATTGACTCCAACAGAATATATAAAATCTTAAAAAGGCTGATAGCCATCTTAATAGAGTTTAAATGAATTCTCATTAGCACTGGCACAAGTGTCAACCAATTAAGGCAAGCAAGCAGAAAAAGTGACAGCCCCCCCCCCCCGCCACGTGTCATATGGAGCGGCAAAAGCTAATCTTGGATAGCTCAAGCTGGTGGAACCTCTACGAGGGCTAGAGGCTAATGGGTCACTTGGGTCACAGTGGAAGCTCCATTCTCATACTTTGCTTGATTGCTATACCTTGGCCCACCATGTCTCACACCTGGTAGCTAGGCCAACCCCAGGCTCTGGGAGTGAGCCCAGCCTGAGTCTAGAGCCATTTATCTAACCAGCTCTGGCTTGCTGACCTAGTGCGTAGCTTCTAGAAATTGGATTTTGGTATTGTAGCTCATTCATTTACCAAACCTACATTGAACACTTTGCTGTGACGTAGGGCCCATGGAGCAGGGAGCCCAGAGGGCGGTTCAGAGAATGCTTGTCAAGAAAGTGGTTCC